TTCACAAGGTCTTCCTATTCAAGGCAAAAAAAAAAATTTGTGCAAAATTTCCAGGTTAAGAAAGGGCAGTGCACCAGGTGTGGAGCTGTTTGCTAAAAGCTGCGACTGAGCAGGGGAAGATGGCTGAACTAAGGAGAGGACAAAGTGTGTCTGTTTGTGGAGGCGTATGTGTGTGTGTGTGTGTGTGCGTGTGTGTGTGTCTGTGTGTGTGTGTGTTTCTAAGACTGAGAGAAAGACAGAGGGAAACTTGGCGATTGTGTGCTGAGGCAAGAATGTTCTTAATAGGATACAGGTGACAACATGCTGACCAGAGCCACTGAACAATGATTACTCAGGGAGCTGGAGGTCCATGTGTGAATGTGTTAGAGGGTGTAGGCGTGAGTGCCAGAGAAAGAACTGTAAGGTTCGAAAAACAATTCGGCCAAGCATAAAAACGGAACATTTTGAAGACTGCAAGGAAGAAAAATCCTCAGGAACCGTACAAAAACTAGGTTTTACATCAGTGGGGATAGACACAACTATTATTTAAACACAGTGAAAGTGTAGATTTAGAATTGTCCAAATAAAAGAATATATGAACATATTGCATGCCTTATGAAAAGCTTTGAAAGCAACTTGGAAAGCTTTTTAATTTCTCTCAGTGTAATCAGACCCAAAATATGCATCCAATGTAACAAAGAAGTGAACTTAGAAAGAAAAAAACCTCGAAAAGTATTTATCATCTAAAGGTCCTTTGTCAGCTTCATTGCACAAATCTTGTAAATGGAAACAGAAAAACCTAATTAAAGTCAGTAAAATCAGTTGCAACCCGTGTATAAAGTGGCTTTACAAAGGGTCACAAAAACAGAAACGGCAAAAAAATTAGCATACACACATAAGAAATACATAAAAAAATAAATAAATTTCAAACCCAGATTTTGAAATTGATATAAAAGGAAATGAACTTGGAAGCAAGAATTTGTTATTTATTATGAATAATAAAAAAATGACAAAAATTTGAGTCAATGTATAAAATCTTTTTCTTTCTTTCTTTCTTTCTTTCTTTCTTTCTTTCTTTCTTTCTTTCTTTTATAATTCTTAAGGTAAGACACCAGTGTACGACTAAAATAATTACCAATTAATACAAATAGATAACAGTACAGTGCTTTAAAATACATTTCTTTGTAATTTTATTTATAATATTAGAGATATAGATAAGAAAAAGTTCCCACCTTGAAATAGTTTTCTTTAGATACATTTGAAAATGAAGGTAAATATTTTACAAAACATAAGAATATATCATCCCATATAAAATAGGATCCCCATGAAGTTAGGGACCCGAATTATAAATGAAATCCATTTTTACATGCAAGGTGATTGGGTGATTGTTTACTTTGATTTCTATTTATTTGATTAGAACAAGAACTGTAATGACTTGATAAAACATTAGCTTGTTTTTAAAAATGTTTCCTTTGTGTGTGGCTTGATCTATGTTGCTCCAACACTCACTCGTCCTATTTTGTAGTATTTAATCTTTATTAGGGCTAAAAAAAATTATTTTACATTTGTAATCTGAAGAGTTTTAAATAAGTGTTGTATAAAATAAGAATCAATAATTATATTGTACATATATACATATATATATATATATATATATATATATATATATATATATATATATATATATATATATATATATATATATATATATAAATAAATAAATAAATAAATAAAACAGCATATAACACTATTTTCTGTGCTGTGAGTGGTATCGCCGAACTTCAAATAGCATTACATGGAACACTGGTGCCCCCTAGTGTTAATTACAATGACCTTTGATTGGTACAACTGATTGCTAAATTATCTCCAATCAAGACCAGCTGTCAGTTAAGGCAGACTCTCTCCTTTATGCTTTAGATTACCTCTTGCATAACTTTTAAATTTTTTCCTTTTTAGTTTGTGGGTATTAGAATTATCAAGTATTCTTCAGTTTGTTTGTCTTCTTTACAAATTTCAAACAACTACTTTTTAAATTTTATAACATTTATCAAGGGAGTTTTATAAGATTATTATATATATATATATATATATATATATATATATATATATATATATATATATATATATATATATATATATATGTATATAAGGTGGTGGAGCGATGTGTGATTGCTCTTTTAATAAAAGCTCATAAAAGTTTCACATACGCTAATACGATTACACATAAAATATGTTGTTGTTGTTTTTTTTTTTTATATTCTTTATTCAGAGGATTTAGAATTTACTCCTTAAAAGTTGTTGTTCAGTCTTGTTCTCATATCTTGAAAATGTTGCTCGTAACAGAAATTTATTGCATGGTTGTAAGTTGAGAAACTACTGTTATGGTTAGTATGTTGCATATGCTGCAGTCTCTGATCAATGTTTTAAGAAAAGAAAATATATTTATATGTGATTTGAACTTTTCGTAAATGTGAAAAAGAACACAAACAATGGTGTGTGTCTAGTTTTGACCCTTAAATGTTATACTTGCAGCCTAGACGCATTGAAGAACAACATGTGTGGTCACCAAAGAGGAGCAGGTTCTTGATGTGATTAGGTCATTTGACTGTGCCTGTCTGGGACTGCAAGTTGAACTTATACCCTCAACTTCAAGCAATGGAAATTAAGTTATTTTCATTTTGCAGCTTTCTCTTCCCTCCTTTTTTTACTCTACTTGATCACAAAGAAGCCATCAGGGTAAAGATGTTAAAGTACCCCAAAACCAACCCGTCCTCCATCTGCAAAGCATGCCATGTTTCTTATGCAAATTTCGAAGTGAATCACTCTATAAGAGCACTTTATATAAAATCATGAAAACCATGTAAGAGCAGCTGGACATTCTAACACTTTTTCGATAATTTCTCTGGGTCAGCTGTGGAGGAATGGAGCTGCCAATCATTTTTATATGTAGCAAAAGAAAAGTGTCCGTCGACAAACAGGCTTTACTTTGCCGTTGCTATGGAGATTAATCCGAGTCCACAACTACCATTCCCCCTGGCACTTTCTGTCTGTATTCTGTGTGTTGACACCATCAGTCAGTCGCTGAAACCACCTGATCACATTTTCTTTATCCGGAGGCTTACTGAGCAGTTCTCGAATAGAGTTCACTATAAGAGTTCACCTAGAGGGCTCTGGCAGGCTTTCTAACTTTTTCTAATTATTTATACTCTTACAAGCACAAATGCAAAAACAAAATTCCTTTATAGAGATGTATTTATAACTGGGAAACCTGGGGAAATATTCTAAACAAAGGGAGTCTTTTTCAACTCACTGCTTTCTGATAAATAACAATATATGTATAGATAAAAAACAAGAAATCTGATCAAATCGGTCAGATGTGAGGAAGACACAAGCACTTTTTATTTATTCTTCATTAGGATGCTGTATCCAGCTAGGTGACATTCAGCAAAGTTGACATTTTCTGTTTAAATTGAATGGTTCCCTACTAACTGGCTAAAAACATTACATATAACTCCTTAATTCTTGAGAAAAACGACACATGGGGTTAAAACTTTAATAATTCTTCAGTTCATGCTACCACAATCCTTCATGCTTGATTATTAAGTCAGAGGCATTTTTTTAGACATAAAGCCGCCTATTCAGAGCAAAATTAGATGCTAGACATTTTGTCCTTTTCAAATCGAGCTGTCTACCATTAGATATTGTGTACGTACAATGCCTCAATGTCATGTTCTGGTTAACATCTATAGATTTAAAAAAGAAAATTAAAGTCTACTGAAAAAGGGTCATGACCTGCCAGAGTTTGTAAGAGTGAACAGGAACAAACAACAAACACCAACGTGTATCAGGGAATGCAAAAAAGAGAACCAACGTGATTTGATAGATGAGTGTGATACAGACTTTTTATATCATTTTTATTTAAATAAATGGATAAGATTAAATGCCACATATGAGGATAATGGTTGTTTTCCTAATAAGAAATAAACATTCAAACATCTGTTTCAGTGTATGAGAGTTTATTTGACATGCCAATGGGTAAAGTTGAAGCTCCTAAGTAGAAATATTAGAACGCTTAAATTAATTATGAGCCAAGAAAAATATTTGATAAATTAATATAGATAGGCAGACGGACCAATGGATAGAGATGCTGGGTACTAAAAGCTTTAATTATCAGTACTGAAATAATGAAAGATACAGCAGACCATGTTTACGGGATAGCCGAATGACATTTGAGCTTTCTTAGGCTCACAAAATGATGCGTAAGGTAAACAAACATGCATAAAATACAGCATCCCCTCAAAGGGAAAGAGTATGTAAAAAGAACTACAAAAAACGTCTATGAAAGCAAACCTAAATGTGTAAACTGGGCTTTTCTGTGGTCATCTGTTTAAAATGCTATGCATAGTTCCTATAGCTTCTCCCTGGCAAATCAAATATTCATGCACTACCTTGTTGTCTCTCGTCCTGAGGGTAGAGATGGAATTACATATGCCCCACACGCATCTTCATGAATCATATATTGCTGTATACCTAGACATGCTTATAGAGGCCATTATGGAGTTCATATGCAAACAGACATACACAACAAGATAGAGATGTGTACAGATTCAGATCTACTTTTCAATACAACTGTCCACCTATCAAGTTTAAGTCTGAGCCTCTAGAAAAGAAGTTTGAATTTGATAGAATGAGAACAAGTGTCTAAAGGGAGGTGGAAGTTATTTCAGGGTGATGTGAATTAGTGTAAAGTTTTTTTTTTTCAGATTTTCAAGAAGATGGACTTTCTTGGTGCCATAACTACAGCCCCCTTCAATTAAGGAGAAAAATTGATGTGTATCATTAATTATGTCAGTCATATCATAAATCATCACTGGCTGCAGCAATTAATTATTTTCTAGTCATATGAATAACATGACAGAGTAGAGATAAATAAGCGGCTGAGAGAGCTAAGGAATCGTTGGGGATGGAGGATGGAGGAGGGAAAGGGGAGGGATGGTAGGCCATTCGTCCGTCAGTAACTTAGGAGGAGGGGGGTTCTCTCACACGCTCTATTTACCGGACCATTGGGATGTGACGGGAACGTGACAGCCCCCACCACCACCCTACCATCCTGCTCTCACTTACCAGCCTTCTCATGGAGGAACGACAATTAGGCCTGAACGAGACGGGCATTTCCTGGAACAGATGCTGGCGTTCCCCGTGAAAAGCGACCCCCGTCCTGCATCTGAGGTTAAGGTGTGTGGAGCACAGTTACCATCGGCTTTAAACGAACTAATAGCCTTGTGATGGACCATTTATAATCAAAGGGCAGCCTTACAGAGAGAAGTGCGCCTGGGAGGCTAGTGGAGCTTGTCTGAGGAGCTGAATGTGTTTTATTGTTCAAGACCTGCTCACCATCATGAGGTGGAAGGCTTTTTTTTTGTTTTGTTTATTTTGCAGCTTTTATGTGATAGATCTTGGATTCAGAAAGCAAATTTCACAATGAAGTTTATGTTTTCCAGGTGGTCCAGACACCTCAGTCAAATTTATGTAGAATTTCAACTTTTTAAAGATTATCTTTGATTTGTCTCCTTTTTACAATTTACTATGCAAAAAATTAAATCATTCCTTATTCCAGAAAATCTATTTATTGATTACTTCATTTAAAGATAGATTAAGTATCTAAAATGCCATAATATTAGTAAAATGCATCATTATTTATTGTTTGCTGTACATTATGGTTTTGGGGTTTATACAACTATTTTAGAGCAATTCAAAAATAATAATGTTTCTGCTAAACATGTTATGGTAAATTGTTTTTAAAATTTTTAATAATGAAAAAACATAAATGAAATAATAAAAAGTGTGTTAAGCTTTTGTTTTCAGCTGAATTTACTCAGTACCTTGTGGAATAAAAGAAATGCTCTAATTACAGGTGGAAGTCATTGGGGGTATTTTTTTAGCACATGTATAGATACATATATAGGCTGCACGCATGTTTTGCAAAATACTATGACGTTTGCAAAAAACGTTATAGTTAAAGCCTTGCCATTAATTCTCATTATATTTATGCCTGGAGTTCAACTAGATTATTTCACTCATTGGCAGTTCTTGCTTTATGTTCAGAGTAAATGTCCTTGTTAAGGATTTTCCTGCACTCTATAAATCAACTCTAATCAGCTCACCTGTCTCTGTTGAGGAGAAGCATCCCCACAGCATAATGCTGTCACTTCCATGTTTCCCTCTTAGAACTGTATCTTAAGACTTTTGTGATATTTAAGAGCATTGTGTTTTGCTGTCAGGCACAAAATTCAGTCTTGATCTTATTAGATACAAGCACTTTTCTTTGAAAACAACATATACGTTTTATTCCACTTTCTTGTTACAAAGAACCTCTTTGTATTGGTGTATTACATGATAACCCAATAAATGATACTACAATCCATAATTTTAAAGTTAAAAAAGAAAAGAGATTGTGAACACCTTTCCAAGGACGCTGTATGAATCTCCCTTCTACCTACATTATATAAATGCAGCATCTGACACCACATGGATTCAGTAAAGTGGGAGGAAAGGTGATGGAACACGAGCTGTACCCTGGGAGACTTCAGCCTCCATATCCTTTAGCTCAGTAAGTGTTGACTGACTCACATGCTTGTATGCCTTATCCCAGACCTTTGTGGATGCAGAGTATTGATCCAGAGAATAGGGAGGGGATAAACGGAGGAGAACCTGCACTGAGAAAAAGTAAACATCACTGCAGATGACAAAACACTGATCACCCCGGAGACCCAGACCTTCCCTGCTCTGTCTTTCTGTATCATTTCTTGTGACCCTTGCCACCCTGAGCTAAACCAACTATCAGCCTTACTCCTGTGCCCTCTGAGTCCGTAGCTTTGTATGTTTTATGCCCATATATGTCCAGTCAGGGATACTGGCAGAGGAAAAAAGAAATCTATGAATCTTGTGCGTGTGCATGTGGAGGAAAGTAGTACGGACATTGAGTTAAGGGTTGTTTGGGGAACATGGGCATCTAAGCCAGTGTTTAATACCAAGTATGTGCTGTGGATTTTAATCAATACCAGGCCTCTTTTGTTCCTAGCCTGCTGAGGAGAGGCAAGCCGCCGTTCACTCTCTGAAAGGTTAATTCTGGAGGTCAAGTGATTTCACACCCACACCAGAATCCTCCATGTCACAGCAGCTGCCACGCCTCCAGGCGCCATGACACCAAGCATCCTGATTTATATGTTGTAAGAGAGCAGTGGGATTGGAGGTTAGGTTGGCTGTGCTATCATATGATAATGCTGTCCTTCTGCACTCTAGAGAAGCTACAGAAATAAATGAGAAAACACAGCAGACCTAACCATCCTGGAACACATGTGGGTGTTATTTTTCCTTTTCTTTCCTCTGTATTTTTTGACAGGAATCATTTTTTTATTTCAGCAAAAATTGCAGTAGAGCTGGATGTGTTTTTTTTTTAACAGTTATCATGCAACTGAATGTTGGCTTGTAAAATATACACTGAAGCTTAGTGAAAAAGCTTAGAGGGACAATAAAACATAAAAATGAAAACTAAAATCCCATACCAAAGAGAAAAATGAACATACACCACCTTGCAGAATGTCCTCGCATTTTGATAAGTAACAACTACTAACTTCAGTGCATTTCTTTTGATTTGGATGTGACAGACCAACAAATTGCACTGCATAAAATGTAAACTAAGAGAAAATTATGCATTCTAAAGTCAGATCTTTTGAAATATATTGACCAAAGTGGCAAATTTACAGTATGCATAAGATATATTCCTAATCTTTTTGTGAGATAGCTCAAGCCCAATCAGATGGTGATAATCTATAAACAACAATTAAGGTCCTTTATTATTTGTGTTAAGGTTTTACTTTGACCAGCCATTTGATAAGCTTCAGTCTAAATGTGGCTGTACACGTACACTTAGGGTCTAATGTCCTATAGGAAGATGAACCTTCTCCCACTTAGTGTTTTTGCTGCCTCTAATCAGTTTTCTTCCAGAATTATCTTATTTTTCATTCATATTTCCATAAGGTATGACCATGTTAGCACATATATCTCCACAGCATAATTGGGCCACCTATATGTTTTACTGCAAGGATTGTGAGTTCAGGTAGCAGTGGCACCATGACTTTCTTTCAACTCTTCCAAAACAGATATTTATCCGACCAATAGAATCTCCAACCTAAGCCGTTTCATCTTTGCTGCTGTCCCAGTGTTAGTATGGACTTCTTGCCTGCTTATTTGGATCAATGTTCTGCTTGCCAAAAATATTTGTTTTCTTGGTAGCTGTACACTTCTACTGTTGTTTAAGACTCTTGGATGACAAACTAAAAAGTCCTCTATAAAATCTGAATACAAGATAATATGTCTTACAAAGTGATCCTGCTTTATACATCTTCACAACTTTATCCCTGACCTCTGTTCCTCAGTCTTGGTCATACATGATCAGAGGACATTATTTTGAAAGGTATACAGAGTCATGTTGAATTAATTAAAATATGTGTTCCAATGAGGCTTTCTTTACAGATTAAAAGTACATTCTGAAAATAACAAACTTTATGCTTTTTCAGTATGCTGTTTTTTCTATGTTAAATATATTATTTTTGGGTCTGATGTAATATTGCAATACAGTAAACAGAAAAAAAAACAAATTGAGTAGAAATAGAAGGTTGAAAAAAATCATTAAATTAATCTACACATTTTTTCACATTTTAAAATGACTGAATAATTTAAGAGTACACTAATGTATTGAATAAGACCATATGTGTACGTCAATGAAATAAAATCTAAAAGAAATTTGAAAAGGTGCAAAGGTATACTTTTTTATATTTGTTTTCAAAACGAGTTTCAAAAACTACAGTTAAAATAAATCCCACATCTGAGGTCCCAGAGTCTGCAGGGCAAACATCTGCATAATGTGAGACCAGTGCTTCATGAGGTGTCACGAAAAGAAGAAGCACCAGAGGAATTAACGTGAGGACTTATCTTGCGCAGGCCATTATTTAAACCCTCACTTTTCTAAACACACCACTCCCCCAATGAAGAGGACAATACATAATCCTTCTAAATAAAATCTATTCCCAGCAAATTCTCCAGGATACAGGCCATAATTATCAGTAGGAGGGGACAGACAGCAATTAATAACACAACCAACCATCTCTCGCAAGGCATCCATCTTATTTTCATTAGGGCTATTGCTGTGTGCATATGTGTGAAAAACTCTGTGTAAGAGTATGTAAGAGAGAGTGTGTCTTTGTGTATCTCAATGCATAAAGATGTGTTGCTGAGTGATCCTGCTTAGCCGAATCAACAAATACCCGCAGCATTTACTCTGTGGGGCCATGACGTGTGCTGTTTCAGTAAAATTTTTTTGTGATCCGTCCTTTAATATTTGCAGAGCTTTATTAAAACTCTACCAGATCCACCTTTGATTATCCTCTCTGGATCTGCTGCATCTCCTTTATCTCTCGTTTGGAATCCGTGTTGTCATTCCAAAAGGGCAATTGCACTTGCTATGGCATCCTCTGGGTCTCTTGGGGTGACGATAGCAATTAGCTTCAATGACAGAGTGATATAAGGGGCTGCTGATTGACAGTTGCCCCCAGAGAAGGGGCTGACTGAGGTGACAGCTGGGCTCTCTACTCTCTGTGGTCGCCCCAGGCTCTGGCTTGTGTTACCCCACGCGCCAACCTAACTCTTCCCTTAGCACACAATCACGTGTCTCGTTCCATCCTGTGCATTGGCCATTCCCTTTCCAATCACTCTGGCTTATGTCTTGTTATATCCCGTCTTTTAGTAAAACCCACCTTCTCACGTCACCCCATGTCTGTTTCTTGTTATTGTTATGCAGCACAATGTGACTCAACACTGACCTTTCCTTTTCCCACATCATATTGTCTGTATACACCCATCAAAAATGTGTGTGTGTACATATATTTGTGTGTGTCTCTTTCTCTATCCTCAAACGGTGCGGTACGCTGGTTTGTATCTCGTCTGTGTCAAAGCAACAGCTGCGGCAGCCCTGACACATCAGTGAGTGTTTCTTCAGTGGAAGCCCGAGGAAATGAAGCGCTCCCCATCTATTGATCCCCCTACACATCAGGGAGACTTTGTTTTCACTGCCTAACAGAAACATAGCTCCATCAATACCGTACAGTACTCTTGCTCGACACCAGCTTTTCTCTCCGCGCTACAGCATCCCAGGAGGCATGTGATAGACTCCACTA